CCTCTGCACGCTGCTCATCCAAGAGCCACTGGCCCAGTGCTCACTTGCTCATCTGGCAGCTCCCACTGTTGCTCCCACTGCTCGTCCGGAGGGTATGGGGGCAGGGAGGGGTGTGTGCCCTTGGATCTGCATGGGGTGGGGCATGGCGGGCTGGGGATGGGGTGCACAGGGCTCTTTCTAGCTCGCTCTGCCCTGCCCCACGCAGATACGGGGGCACACACCCTCACCCCCCATGCCCTCCCGGATGAGTGGCAGGAGCAGCAGTGGAGAACCACTGGACGAGCAGGCAAGTGCCAAACCAGTGGCTCCCAGACAAGCAGCATGCAGCGGCAGCAGCCTCCCCCGCAGCCCCAGCCCCACTCCTCCCTCACCACAAGGGCCTTGATCTGCCCCCCCATGCCCCTTCCCCCTTCCACCACACCAGACTTACGAGCTTCACACAGGTCTCCAAGCTTCTGGGCTGGTATTGGAAATTAGATCAGTATTGGCCAAGATGCCTCCTTAAAAATCAGCTATTGGTATCAGTCCCAAAAATCTCTATCAGTGCACCCCTATCAGTAGGGCATCTATACATGCATTAATGTGCAGTAATTAATTGGGCATATATTTGATACCTGCATGATGCAAATTTACACAGAAATCAGCATAAGTCACCATATTTACTATGAAGTACAGGTGTGCATGTGTAGACGTGTGCCCATATTGTGGAGTAATTTTGCTTACTGCATAGTAAATGTGCATGTGTAGATGTGCCCATGTATCTGTGCTGAGAACTGGTTTTGGGCCACTGTTGACATTTCCTAGCAGAAGCAGTTACTGTGACCTACCTTCTAGCCTACTATGTGCATACACATTCATGCCCTTTGATTTTTTTTTTTTTTCTCTCTTGGTACAGAGGGTGAATTGGAAGAAGAGTGGCTAAAGGAGGCAGGCCTTTCAAACCTTTTTGGTGAGAGTGCAGAAGACCCTGTAGAAAGCATGGTGTTTCTATCCACATTGACCCGAACTCAGAAAGCAGCAGTACAGAAACGAGTGGAGACTGTCACGCAAACCATGAGGAAAAAAAATAAACAGCACCAGGTTCCAGATGTTAGAGATATCTTCAGGATACAAAATGACCCAAAGGAAAAAGTAAGATTCTAACTGATTTCATTTTGTTTGGCTCTCCTAAAACCCAGGCAGAGGATCTATTGCTAGATTGTCTCTAAATTCAAAAGTAGAACTTGCATTGACTTCAACAGGAGCAGAGTTAGGATAGATTTAAGCTAGTGCCAAGTGCTTTTAAAAAGTAAGTTTCAAAAGCAGATAACTAATCGAAAGGCAGCCATCTGCTTCTATATAGGAATAAACTAAACATAGGGAGTTTCGCAGGAATTCTTCTGTTGGGAGGTTTGGGTGTGATCAACTCTCCACTGGAAACCTCAACGTGGTAGCATCTGATGCAAACTTATGCTTCTTTGAATTAGATAGTCTACAAGGTGCAACTCTACCCTGCCTTCTCTCTGCACATTTATAGCAGGAGTTCATAGTTCAACCCTGGGCATGTAGCAGCAATGCAAGGGGAATCAGGGTTACTGAAAGTTAAGATGAGAGCAGGCAGTCTCCCATTCCTTCAAACTTTGTGGAGCTGAACATTTTCAGACAGTTTGTAAGGCACAGAGGTGTGAACTGAGGAGGCAGGGAAGATGCTGCCATTGCTGGCCCCAGCCCCATGGTTCTGGCAGGGACCCATGTGCACAGCACTGACCCAGCCTGCCCTTCCCCACCCAGCCACTCCCTGCCCTGCTTCTGCTCTGGACTTGCCTGCCCAGGCTGGGCAGTGGCAGTAGCAGCAGCAGCAGCTGCAGCTGCTAGGCAGAAACTGTTCCTCGACATGGGGGAAAAGCGGCCTCTCCCCCTCACCGCTGCTGGGCCTGTCCTGCTACAGTGGGCTGGAGCATGCACTAGGCTGCCCTGTGCCTCCACTGCTGTCACCGCCACCTCCAGGCTGCCTAGTAGGGCTGTGCAAGACAGCACCATTCTGCTTTGACTTCTGTTTCAATGGAACAGTGTTTTTCTTTTGAGTTTTGTTTAATTTCGAAAGTGCTTTTCCATTTCATTTCATTGAAACTCTTTGGCTGTTTCAATGCTGTTTTGCCGTTTTGTCCATAGGTTATAATGGGGAAACATGCAGCAGGCAGGCAGATCAGGGGCTCGCTGCTGCGGGGGCTGCACTAGAGTTCTCCTGGGCAGGTCCCCAATTTTGCCTGCCAGATGACAGACTGGAGCTGGGCACAGCCTGCACACAGTGCTGGGAAGATCGGTGATGCTGCTGGCCCCAGGCAAAGCGGCACCTGCCTCCCGTCATTCAGCAGGCATATTGGGGGCCCATACCCTTGGGAGGACTCCAGCACAGCCTCTGCAGCCCTTCTGGGCATGTGGGTGAGCCCCTGATCTGCCTGCCGGATGAGAGGAGGTGGGTGCTGCTGGCTGGGACCAGGACTGAAGCCAGTAAGCCTGGCTTTGAAACTCAAAATGTTTCGAGTTCCCTTGTTTCATTTCAAAGCTATTTTGAAGGATTTGTTTTTTTTATTTCTCTGTTTCAAGCTCAAAATATGTCGAAACATTTCAAAACAAAACTGGGCGAAATTTTGCACAGCCCCATTGCCGAGCAGGGGAGTGGTGGCAGTGCGGAGCAGACTCAAGGCAGCCCAGCATGGGCTCTGAGTAGCTGCAGCAGGCTGTGGTGAGGGGACGGGGCTGCTTTTCCCCTCTGCTGAGGAACAGTTTCTGCCCAGCAGCCACTACTGCTGCCACAGCCCAGGCTGGGTGGGCAAGTCTAGAGCAGGCAGGGGGCAGGGTGTGCCAGGTTGGGGCTGCGCACCTGGGTCCCCATTGGTACCATGAGGCTGGGGCCAGTGGCAGCAGCAGCTGGAAAGAGCCACCACCATCTGGGCTGTCTAGAAGGGCAGTCTAGCCACGGAGTTGCCTCAGCCCTACTGGGTGCCCAGGGGGTGACAGGATGCGCCACGGTTGGGCAGTGCAGAGCAGGTGTGGGGTGGGCTGGGGGCAGGGCTGTGTGCACGTGTTCTGGCTGGTCTGCTCCTGCTGGGTTGAGTCCAGAGCAGGTGTGGCATGTGGCCAGGGCTCTGCACTGTTGGCAGTGGCAGGGAGGTGCCACAGAGCACATGGGCTCTGGGCTGTTGTGGGACGAGGATGAGGGCAGATGCTGACCAGTTCAGGGGGACACATGTCGGGGGGCTGTCATGCACACACCATTGTACCCGCAACCACACCCTCTGCTCCACACAGTTGCACAGTCCACAAGCACTACATCCATACCCTCCTCTGAACCCTGCACACATACCTGCACATCTCTGGGGGGAGCCCCAGTCACTCCTATGCACTCTCCACCACCACACACATGCATGAACACACCCCAAGCAATCCTCCCCCTCCACACATCCCGCATCCCCCCCATAAACCTCATACCCTCCACTCCACCACACCCCCTGTAGTATACCAGAGTAAGACTTCATTTTGGGCTATTATGCAGTCCCCTCTATATACATGACTTAAACAGTCAAATCAGGACAAAAACATTTTTTAAAAATATGTTACTATGGATGGATTTTTTTGTATATAATTTTTTTTTCTGGTTCCAAGATGGCGACCCCCCCTTCCCAAAAGGAGCACTTCTTGGGGGCAAGGAATGGGACTTCCAGTGACCAAGGTCAGGGATTTGGGGGCGGGACTTCTGGTCCCAATATGGCGACCAAGGGTACCTGTCAAGGGGTGGGGCTACCCTTGCAGCCCTTGACAGCTCACCAAAACTCGTTAAGTGGTCCTCCAGCCAAAATAATTGCTTCCCCCACCCCCAATCTAATAGAATAACAATGGAGGTAGCATAGTTTCATAGTTTCATAGATTAAGGGTTGGAAGGGA